AAATTCAATCCTCTGTCCAACAAAAGTACTACACTATCTTCCAGAGTTGTACTGGATAGATTGATTACCTTATCCTTCCCTAGTTTGCTACAACCATGGTTGGTACGACTTACTTCAGGTGCAAAATTTATCGACCTTATTCTAATTCCTAAGTTTCGGAGCTTCTTATCATGTATATGACGCGTGATTCTGTCAGTCGCCTCTCTCAACCCGTCAGCAATGTCTAGTAACTTATGTAAATCTACATCTTTCAATATTTCCCCTTCTTTCAAAAAAGCTAGGCGAATTAATAAAAAATGGGGGATAAAAACAGTGTTCAAGGAAACCCTCACACTTTATTCTGTCAGGGCATCTTTTAGAGAGAAATATGACTCATTATCCAGATCCGGCTGATACAAGATTGTTTGTTTATGTGGTCGAAGTAATGTCGGTAAGACTTGCCGACCTGTTCGGCAAAGATTGGGAAAACACAAAAATGCTTGTAAAGGAAGCTGGGTGCAATTGTCAGAAGTGACCGAACACTTGGTAGAAGCTGGACATGAAATATAATGGTTTTAAACTAGTAGGCTTGCTGATTATGGTACATCTGTGGTTAAAAGACATGAGAGGCTATTGAAATTAATAGCTTAGGGAATTCGTTGAATGTGAGGAATGGTGTTGAACTGCTATCCAAAATATGGCGAAGCAACTTCTTTGATCGGTTATGGCTCTAACTTCACTCATAATAGTCCAACATTTCAGATTAAACTCATCAACCAAACCAGACCTGCCATATTAATCAACACTAGTCATGCCTTTCCCTTGGTGGTTAAACTTTAATGCCCCTAGACTGAAAGGTTAGGACAAATGGTTTCGTTACTTGACTTACATGCTTACAAGCTCATATCTCATTATCTCAAACATACTTGTTTACGAACTTACGCGATCTTGGTCAGGGCTTTCTCTTGGTTTATTAAACCTGGATGATCAGAGTCTGATATTGGCTTTTTGATACCTCTGATTTAGCACCAGTATTGCGTATAGACGTTAACACATAAATATACACACACGCACACACTCGAGCAAAAATATTAGGACCAGTATGTAAGATAATTAGCCAAATCACTCTATATCTATCTAGGTTTTTTATTTTCTTTTGCTAAATTGAGTCTATATTACGGACGAAAGTTCATCCCCTTTTCACCCGAAACGAGAGAGGTCTCGTGGACGGCGTCAACCTAAACGACGTATAAAAGCCAAACTGCTCCAGTTCAATAGGATTCAGCCATCCTCCTCTGGTGAGATCGACCTAAGAATCTGTTCTTCATGCACTTTCATACGAAATGCAAGTCCCCCTTAGCAATCTTATCTCAGGAGATTCATCGAAACCCAATTACTCTTCGTTCCTAAAATGAAATTACTCCCAACTACAAATTATGAATTTCATTACTTGATTCCTCTTATTCTTGAATTAATTTCGAGCACTAGCGAAAGTCTTGAAAAGAAGAAGAACTTATCTCGGTCAACTAGAAACTGGCAAACTATGAGGCTTTTCCCGCTTGTGGTGTGAAGGCGTTGGTTCGAGAACTCGCCAAATCGACCTTCTGCGATTCTTTTTCAGATCATGATGTGGATGCCAATACGATTTAACGGACTTTGTGCTTAGTTCCTCTTCTTGTATGCTCTTTCTCGTCGCCCCCATCAGACGAAGCCCTACAATGGGCCATATCGCGCCTCGGCCGCTAGCAGAGTCAGTAATGCCGCTTTACCTTCTATTGCTGGGCTCCCATATTTAACTGGTCCACCCGGCAACCAGCAGGACTTGCCATACCTGCTGAGCGAAATGTATCGTCGGCCCTGGCCGGCCAGTGCCAGTCTATTGAATTGGCCAAATAAGCCCAGCTGGCTTCTAAAGGGCCAATCAGAAGCCAGCGCCAAGGACTCCGATACTGGCGGTCGTAGGTACGGGTCGTACGACTTCGGTACGGAAGCGAAGCCATACCGGCAAGATTCCTTTCGTCCGATGCTGATGGCGCCCCCGCTGTACCATGCCTATCGTCTGCGCAGTCCCTTGCAGGCTCCGTCGGTCCGGACTTTCAGCTCTAGAGGCACGTCGGCGTCAACTCCGCGTCTGGACGTCAATAGGACGGTTTTCCATCCCCCCTGAAGGTGGTCGCCGCCACATGTCACCCTCCTCCAATGCCCTCGGCACAGTTTATGATGGCCTACTTGTCGTCGCCTCACCTCATCTTTACGCCGCGAAGGTGTCATGTACCAACCTCCGGACTGGTATCAAGGCCCCCGATATCTAAGGCCTGTTGACCGATTCGAAGAACTGAGCGTATAAACCAACGAATTCTCATTATATTAAGCCAAAGGTTAAATGTTCCGCAGTCAAGTCCATTTTATTTTTCTACTGTCGGCTAATTTGCATTCCACTTAAGCCCTCTTTTATTGCCATTTTTCTGTCTCTTCTTCTGCCACTTGGCTTTTTCCTTTCAGAGTTTGTGCCCAGTCCAGATATGTTAGTCAAAAAGTCGCGCATACCAAACCCTATTTTGTGCTTTGCTTCATTCACCATATTTTTGCATATATGCGTGCCTCTGTATGTTTATCCTTGTGTTCATAGGGAGGTCTGTCTTTATGCACATAGAAAAGCACGTCTGTTTGTGACGTCAGACCCGTCTCTACGACAAATGTACAGCACTTATTTCACTACATTACACCATCACCGAGCAACTCCCAATTTTGCCCGAGTCCTGGCCTGATGACAAGAGGCCCACATAAGTACTCTCAGCATTTGTGAGCACGTGAGCACCAGCAAGCGTGTACATGAAAAGACGCGCACTCTTTTCTCTACCATCATTCGGTAGGCCAGCAAGAAGTTGCTGATCCTGACACATGACAACTGCCAGACAGGTATCACTTCCACTGTTGGCCTATTCAAGACCAGGCTAGCGCGATGGCCTGCTTTCCTGTGATATAGGCGTTTGCTTATGAACGCCGAAATGCATGCAATCCTTTGACTCACTCGCATACCCACGCTCCCCCCCTTCACAC